GGCTGGTGGAGTGGCTCAAGGTGTAGGCCCTGAATTCAAGTCCCAGTAAGAAGGAATGAATGAATGAATGAAGTTGTTACAGAAGCCTAAGGATCTACCTGGATTCAGCAGAAAGTAGTGCCACATGCCAGGAACAAAGTGTCACACAGGCCAACTCACTGCCAATTCCACATAAAGGATGAGACTGCTATTGTACCCACATATTGTACCCAGCACAGAGCATGGTGCATGTCCCATGCTAGCAAGCACCTGAAGGCCTTTGCTGCAAAGGAGCTTGCCCACAGCCCACACCCAGGCTGGGGTGCCTTTCTCAAGGCTCCCACCTTGACCTCGCATCCCTAATTTCATTTTCTCCATTCCTCACCTTTGCAAGAGCTCAGTTTATTCAATCTTTATTGAGCAAGTCACGTGGGGCACATTTTATCTCCACAGAAGGAGTGGCACTAGACAGCTGACTTTTCTCTGTGAGGCCTCCCTCTTCCATAGGGAGGCTCTAGCCACAGAGTCTCTGGTGGGAAGCAAAGGTCACAGACCACCACTCTAGCTTCCTTCAAGAAAGAAAGTGTGCCGGGTGCCGGTGGCTCATGCCTGTAATCCTAGCTACTCAGGAAGCAGAGATCAGGAGGATCGAGGTTCAAAGCCAGCCCAGGCAAACAGTTCGCAACACCCTAACTCAAAAAAACCCTTCACAAAAAAAATAGGGCTAGAAGAGTGGCTCGAGGTAGAGGCCCTGAGTTCAAGCTCCAGTACTCCAAACAAACAAATAAAAAAACAGAAGTGTGGCTTTGTCACCAATGTGTCCGCAGCATATGCCAGGCACACAGGAGGTACTCAGTAAGTATCAGACTGTGCTTGGGAACAACCTTTCCCGAGGCTCACCCCTCAGGACTCAGCTTCCCCAGCCTCTGGCTTGGAGGGCAGCTTTCTCCCTCCTGCTGCAAATTTCATCTGGATGGACAGAATTCAATGTGTGGCTAAGCTGGCTTAAAAGTATCATCCATGATCCAGGTCAGAATTCTCCAGAGTGGGATTCTTGGACCCATGTGGGAACCAAGAATGGCTGGGACCTTGGGAGACCTGGTCCTCCCCTCACTTTCAAAACCAGATTTGGAAACCCAGGTAAAATAACCTAACCAGGGAGATGGTGGTTGGAATAATGGCTCACCGTCCTATCATTACAGGGCAAGGCAGCTCCAAACCAGAACCCGTGATACCAGTGTGAGGAGGTGTGTTTCCCGCTGAGGATATTTTGTGAGGTGGAAGGACTAGAACTCAGAAATATTGATGACCATAAGTACGCCAGCCCTGCACTAGCTTATCTCCAAGATGGCTGCCCTCAATTCCTCTTTCCCTATAGATTCTCACCAGCCCCCCACTGAGAAGAAGGGTCTAGGCTTCCACCAACTTAAATCTGAGGCCGACCTGTGACAACTTTGATCATCAAACACAGCACAAGTGAGGCTGTGTGTCTCCAGTTATTTTCCCAGCTTTTAAGACAGCTGGCAATGTCTGTGTCCTAACTCCTGAAGCCCTGAGCTGGCAGGTGCAAGACCCAGCAACTCTGTGACTGCGAGTCGATGTGCAGGAGCTCTGAGTCAGGTATGTAAGTACAGAAGCCATCAGACATCCAGGCCCGTGGAGTCTTCAGATGACGACAGCCCCAGACATCACCTGAAGGTGGCCAAGAAACCCTAAGTAAAAGCCCGTCCAGCTGAGCCCAGTCAACCCACAGAGTTGTTGGGGATAACACTTGCGTCAGTGCTGTTGGGATGGTTTGTTACACAGCAATTGATAGCAGGAACACTGCACCCGATCAGTCCCCACTCTGCAGACGCCAGAGTGCTACTTCAAATGCAAAAAGCAGGTCATGTCATTCTCACTCCAAACCCTCCCATGGGGCTGCAGGCATAGCTCAGTGGTAGGACACACGCCAAGTATGCATGTTTAATCCCCAGAGCCAAAAAGAAATTCTCCAGTGCTCTATTTTCCCCTTCTCTATATACAGTCGTGTGTGTGTGTATATATGCACGTATATATTGAAATATAAACAAATATTCATACTATAGTCAGTAATTCTGTGTGTATATGTATATAGCTACATAGTCCACATATATGCACACACATACATACACACGTGTGTTTATGTACATATATACACGTATACACACATATGTATGGTGGCACGTGTGAAACCTGTTACTCTTTTTGGTACATGACAGGGCTCATTTAAATATATACATGTACATTACATACACACACAGCTTTATAAAATACAGTACACGTACCATGCAATATATAACTTGTGCTTTTGAAGAATATACTCTAATAGATTTTGATATATTTGGACTTGTGCAACCATCACCACAATCAATTCCAGAATATTTTCATCACTCCCCTTCATTAGCAATCAGTCCCATTTACTCCAACACCTTCAGCCTCTGGCACCTACCATTTTCTTTGGGTCTGTATACATTTGCCCACTCTGAACATTTCACCCAAATGGGAAACCCATAGCGTGGTCTTTTGTGACTGGCTTCTTTCACAGAGCAATTTGAAGGTTCATCCAGGTGGCAGTATGTATCAGTGCTTTGTTCCTTTTTCTGGCCAAATCGTATTTCTCTGCATGGGTACACCACGATTTTTGTTCATTCATCAGTCAGTGGACTTCAGGCATTTCCATTTTGCAGTCGTGGTGCTGCTAGGAACACTCATGTACAGTTTTTGTATGGACACATGGTGTCACTTCTCCTGGTTAATAGGAAGGAGTGCAAATGCTGGGTCACGTAGCAACTCTATGACCTTGTGAGGAGCTGCCAGGCTGTTCTCCAAAGTGGCTGCGCCATTTCACTTTCCACCAGCCAGGTCTGAGGTTCTGCTTTTCCCACATCCTCAGCAATGCTTGCTTCTATCTGAACCTTTTATTACAGCCACATCCTAGTGGGTGTGAAGTGGTGTCTCACTGAGGTTTTGATTCTCATCTCCCTAGTGGCTAATGGTGCAGCATACCTTTCCCTGTGTTCACCGGCCATTTGCCCATCTTGGGAGTTAGGTCTACTCAGATCCATTGCCCACTTAATCTGGCTATTTCTATTTTTGTATCCATTTAATTTGGCTATTTATATTTTTTATTTTTGAGTTGTAGGGTTTTAAAAAAAATATTTTCTAGCTGTAAGTTCCTTATCAGAAATACGATTTGCAAATACATTCTCCCCCTGCACACACAGAATAAAACCCAGATTCCTTATTAGAGTTGAGATCCACCTGATTTCCACCCTCATCTGTCACCTCACTCCCTGCTCTCCACCACACTATACTGAGTTTCATACTGTTCCTTGAACTTGTGAGGCCTGTCCTCGTCTCAGGGCCTCTGCAAGTGCTGCTTCCTCTGCCCAGGCTCTCTTTCTAGAGATATCTGGGCACTCACTCCTTCACTTCAGATCTCCGCTCAATGTCGCCTTCTCAGAGAGCCCTTCTTCCCTACATATTTTATCTAAAATATTGCTTTTCTCCCACTTTTTTCTCTATTTTTTTTTTTTGGTGGTATAGGGGTTTGAACTCAGGGTCTTGCGCTTGCTAAGCAGATGCTCTGCCACTCGAGCCTCGCCTCCAGCCCTTTTTATGTTATGTCCAGCTTTACGCCTGAACTAGCTTCCTATTCATGCTTCCATGTGTAGCTGGGATGACAGACGTGACCCACCATGCCCAGCCACTGGTTAAGATGGGGTCTTGCAAACTTTTTGCCTAGACTGGCCTCAAACTGTGATCCTCTGGATCTCCACTTCCTAAGTGCTGGGATTACAGGCTTGAGCCACTGTGCCTGGCCTCTCCCTACCATTTTCTATCCTCTCACTGCTTTATTTTTTCTTAATGTCATTTATTACAACTTGACATTATATCACATACTTAATTGCTGATACTGTCTTCCAGTTAGAAACTCAGTTCTGTCAGTGGCAGGAATGTTGTCTGTCTTGTATGTTACTACATCCTAAATGCCCACACAGTGCCAGGTACACTGTAGGAACTCAACAAACATTTATTAAATTAAACTCATCTGTTACTATTTATTTAGTGCTTACTCTGAGCCAAACACTCTGCGAAAGCACTTCAAATAAAATATCTCATTTAATCCCCACAACAACCCTATGCTATGAGAGATGCTTCATTGTTAAAACCCCAATGAAGAAAGTTCAGGAAATTTATCCATGGTTCCACAAACAGGAAGGGGCAGAGTCAGGATTAAATCCAGGCAGGTTAATCTCTGAACAACAGGCTCTACAACACCTGTCCCCAGAATTACATTTAGAAAGTCCTTTTCTGTCCTTTGAGCCTTGGTTTCTTCATCTATAACATGGGAGTAGCCTCTGACCTCACAGGGTTATGAAAGACGGGCCATGAGCGAATCGGACCTGGCATATCGTGAGCCTTTGATCAGTATGAGCTGGGATGATGACGTCAACGATGATGTCAATTACAGTAATATGGTGGCATTAGTGCTGTGAGCTCACTCACTGCTTTGAAAGCAAATCAAGCTGCACCATCACTAGTTAATATTCAAATACATCCCTGTGTACAGACTGGTGCCTTTTGGACGATGACCCAACCTCAGGAGGAGGACTAACCGCTGTGCTACATGAGGGTTTCAGCGTTTCATTGCAGGGGTGCAAAAGGCTTTCTGACCGTTCACTTGAGGAAGGGGAGGCTTAGATAGCATCAGACAGACTCAGGCCTCAGAAGGGACATACACAATGCCTCCATGAGGACAGGATCTCAGTGGCCTGTTACAGTCAGAATCATGACCTCATCCAGCACAGCTGTTTCCACGGGGCACCATCATACCTGTAAATTTCTACCCAGACCCACAGGCAAGAGTCACTGTCATGACAGCAGCTTGGCCCCACTCACAGCAACCCCTGCGAATGGCTGGATATCATGTTTGCTAAGAAGAGATACTACCAAGGCCCTTCATGTCCATGCAAGAATGGAAATCAAAGGCCACTCACCAGTATGGGTCTGCCTGTGTGTCTCCAGGGCATCCTCTTTCGAGAACTGTGCACCGCACTGATCACAAACAAAGGCTTTGGCACCCGCTGCAAGAGAGGAGAGGTGGTTAAGAGCACCTGTGTGTCCAGTAAGGCACTAGAACCTCACGAGGACTACTTTTTGTACACACTTGTAGCCCCCCAGTGCTGTCTTGAGACCACCTCATATCTCCCCAGGCTTTACTGTGTACCAGAAACAATGCTAAATACTTAATGTACACCATTTAATTTAATCCTAACAACAACCATTTCAAGTACCATACTTTAGACCCCATTTAGCAGATGAGACTACGCAAGTTCAGAGAGGTTAAGTACCCTGCCCAGTGTCACACAGCAGGTAATATTAGAGGTGGATTTGAACCCAGGCAGCCTGGCTTCAGAGCCTTTGCTCTTAATCCCTGCAGCTACGGCCTCCTCAGGTGTCAATGCTTTATGGATAAGAGTGTGAGCTCTGGGATTATCTTCCCACAACTGAAAAAATGAAAATCTACTTTACCATCTCATACAGCAGGTCTTTCAGTAGGATTTTATTTGGAAAAATGATTCCACTACTCTTTAAAAAAAGTTTGAGGGTGGGTGGGCGCGGTGGTGCATGTTGTAATCCAAATACATAAGAGACTGAAGCAGGAGGATCATGAGTTCAAGACCAAGTTGGACTACATAGTGAGCCCCTGTCTCAAAAAAGAGTTCGAAAACTTCTGCCTCGGAGTATCAGCATACAGTTAAGGAACATAACTCAGAACACAAAGACTTAAACACCAAGGAACACTTCTTGCTAGTAAAGGAGAACCCTAGTCTATGAGGACCCCGACCTCATTGACACCCATATTCCAAATGGTGAGCAAGATATATTCTAGCAAGTGCTCAGTAAATAGAAGTTGACTGAATAAATGAGCATGAAGTACCCCAGGGGAGATATGAAATTGCTTTTCCTGAAGAGAGTTAAAAGTAACTACTGTCATTTGCCATAGGTGGCTGAAGTTGAGTTTCACCTGGAGGCAGGGAGAATCCCGTGATGACCTCTGGGTGTCCTTCAACCTGCAAGAGATCCTCAGACCAAGCACCTGGTCCATGGCTTTGAAAACAAGAGCGAGAAAATTTCTCTTGGGGATGATGGCAAAGCTGTCATGGTGTTCACAGAAGTGACAGCTAGAACCACTTTCATCCATTCACAGAGGAAATGTAGAAAGTACCTCAAAAAACAGAGTGGGCAAGGATGGGGAAGGTGGGGCTGGATGGAGTCACAGCTCCCTGACAGTGAGCAATTTCCCCTAGTCCCCAATCATTAGCCATCGATGAATTTCTGTGGATGTGTAAGGGAGCTATTTTTAATTGCATTTTTTTTTCTTTGTGGTTCTATCTGTTCTCACGGCTCCCTCCAGAAGACTGGGGGGGCGGACACCTTCTGACTTGGCCGTCACACTGGAGCCCTGTGATCCAGTGAGGAGCCAACAGCACCACAGGCTTCAAAGGGATGTGGTGTGGTGGTGGTCTCAGAACCAGCCATCGATGTGGCCCTGTAGTAGCGTCTCATTTTAATGACCAAGAAGCAGAGAGAAAGGAAGGAGGGAGGTAGGAAATGAAGGGCGGATGTGCACCATTAGACAAGTTCAGACGAAGATAAAAACAGATGAGCACATGCAATCTAGAAAAGGTTGCTGGCGTGGCCCAAGCCTGACCGCATCTTGGTTGCCTTCAACATCCTCCTCACTCCACCCCACTTGCTGAAAGTCACGAAATTCAGCTCAGTATGTGTGAAAGTCCCTGTCCTCAGGGACTGCAGGTCAGGCTCATTACACACAGATACCACAGACATCAGCTCCCACCGCTGGCTCCCATTCATGAAGTCCCAATGTTCCTTCCATCCCTTACCAAGAGCAACTCTGACCCCCCAGCTCTCCAAGGTGAGCCAAAGAGCAAAGGCAGGCAGTTCTACGATACACAAGCAGAGCAGAGGGTGCCAGATGAAACCTGCTCCCCCAAGGAGGCTGTGCCTTTAAATTGTCTCTGAAATGGCTGGCTCAGAGGCAGAAATATTTGGCAGCCCTGAAATTAAAAGTGATAAATTTCCTCGCCAAGCTTTGATCGATAATAGAGGCCTCATCTGTTAATCAATAAGACAGTCTCTGCCTGTTTACTGTGCATATGTTGTTCACTGCTGCCTTCAGTATGACGTCAGGTTTGCATTCAAAGCAACTCAAGTGTGTATAAGCCACATGGCTATTCCCAAAATGCATTATGGTGACATCACTCAGCCCCTGATACATTTATAAAGCATCAATGGAGGAAGTGGAGAGAGCCAAGGAGGTCATGCCAGCTCAACATGACAGGTTCATAGAGACCTCGCAGCAGCATTTACCCCCACAAAATTTCCTGGGGCTCATCTGGGAGTGGGGAGAACCCCAAGGACACAGCTAAGGGACAGCCATGAATATCACATCCATCCTTTGACATGTATGCCAGGAGGTGGATGACAGTAAGTAAGCAAGAGATGAAATTCCTGCCCTCATGGAGCTTATAGTTAAGAGAGACGGAAGATTTTTAAAAAGCAAGTCAACATACACAGGACGGACAGAGATGAGTGATAGGGTGAGTGAAGAAGGATTGATTGCCAGGGGATACTGTTTTGGACAAGGTGGTCAGGGAAGAGGCCTGGGATGAGCTGGTATCTGTGAGAAGAACTGGAGGAAAGAAGGCAATAAGAAGCAATGGTCCTGTTTGGGAACATCCACACCAGACAAAGCAAGAGCCAGGAGGCCAGCTGGACAGAATGGGGCCAGGGAGGGGACAACAGGAGCCAGAATCAAGAACGTAACAGATTGTGGTGAGAGAAATTAAATAGCAGAGGGAGAACAGCAGGAAGATAAAGTGAGCTACCCCCACACTATCTGTCTCAACTACAGACCCAAGTGAACGAGGAAAGGAACAGTAAATCTAGAGAATCCCAAGCCTGGCTCAGCCACTTACTGCTGTGGACCTCATAGAAGTCATCACCCCTTGGTGAACCTCTTCCCCAGACTGTACAATGGATATGACCTTATCTGTCTGCTTCACTGACCCTGCTAGTGGGAGACAAGGGACATCAATGAACACAAAACTTGTTAATCACCAAGTGCTCTGAGTTTATAAGAGCTCATTGATGCTATTTATACCCAAGGAGGCTGTGGCATGACTCAAGATTTGAGTCAGACAGAGCAGAGTTCCCATCCCAACAGAGCTAGTCACCAGCTGTGACCCTCAGCAAAGTCCCTAACCTCAGTGAGCCTGCCACCTCATCTGTAAAATGGGAACAGGTTCCTCAGAGAGGTTAATGTGCTCAGCTCAGTGTATGTGAACCAGTAAATAGCAGCTACCATCAACGTCAGTCATTACTGCTTTAAACAAGAGCTCTCTTTGTGCAATTAAAGTATGATTGATTTTACTGAAATTCAATGCGCAGTTATTTGGGTGTCATTTATCTTGTATAAAGTAAGTCTCTGCCACACATATGCTCACCTCCCTCTGATTTAAAGGTGAGACTTTTGTTGAGGGAGAGCTGAAAACTCTTGTTATAGGACCAATGCGTCAGTATCAGCAACTGTCACTAACTTCCCAGGACAAGTTCCAGGAGCCCCATTCGATGATTCTGTGTTTCTGGGCTCGTTTCTGTCTTCCCAAATGGACTGTGAGCTCCATGAGAGGAGCCTCATATTTGTCATGGTCTCTGTTGAATCCCTAATGTCCCATGTCCTGCCTGGCACACAGCTCGTGTGCACTAAACGCTTGTTCAAGGAAACCCTCAGACAGGTTCCTGGGTGCTAAACCGGCCTGAGAACGGACCACTGACCATTAAGGCACTGCCAGGCTGTCCCCTAGGGGCTGGCAGAGTCTTTACTCTACATGTTCTGGGTTCTCTACAGCCCTTTCTGGAAACTCAAGCATGTGGTCTCTGGCTGGAGCTCAGGAAGTGCAAGGGAGAAGAAAGGAAAGACTAGGAGGGAGGGCTATCTGCTTCCTCAGGAGCAAGCCCTCAACCTAACCACCCAGCCCTCTCCCCTCAGAAGCAAGAAGATGACCCCTCACTCCAGTACAGTCAGTGAGTATCTGATCCCTAGGCAGACCTCAGGAGGGCAGGCTGGGCCCTCCACTGCCGGCAGTGTTCTACTGGGGAATATTCCCTCCCCCAACCCAGCCTAAGTTCATCTGGGATTCAGTGAACCCAACTGCTACAGGCAGACAGACATCCTTGCCCTGCCAGACTCCCAGGGACTCTGCAGAAGAGAGCTCAAGGATGTTCTCATCACCACACATGTAGAATAGTGGGCTGCCTAACCACTGGGAGTTTTCCAGACCCACTCTTCTCCCCCTTTATCTTGACTTCCTAGTACCTCCAGAAGGTTAGACAGGCTCAAAGGACAGAGGCAAACTCAAAGCAGCTAAAGGTGTGGTGAGAAGAAAAGACACAGACACTACAGTCCAGCTGAGGCTGGGGCAGGGATCACTTGGACTCACAGGAGTTAAAGAAGGAACTGGCCAAAAGGCACTTGCAAAAACATAATGGTTTATCTAAATGCCAGAATTCCAATGGCAACAGAGCCGAAATCCAATAGAAGCCATGACAAGTTCCCCACAGCTGCCCCCCTCTTCCGGGCTTCTCTCACTTGGCAAAGAATCGAGCCTTCTCCCTACTTGCCTTCCTAAGCAGAAGCAGGGCTGGGGTCTCAAGCTTCTACAGAAGATGCTCAAAGCAATCAGATACAGAATGGTGCCTCCCTGAAGGATAGAAGGCAGAGCCAATGAGAGAAGAAAAAAATTTCAAAAATCCCTCCCTCTCCAAGCCCTCCCCCACCCCAAGCTATTAATAATCTTTAAAAAAGGAACCACTGGGGGGAAAAAAAAAAACACCTAATGCTTGCCAGCATCTAATGTTGAGTGGTGTGTCCTTTTTTTAATTCCTTGAAATTTTAAAATAAACATCTTGAATGTTCTGATGAGATATGCATGCCTGCTTACATAAGGAAGTACAGAGTGTACCAAAACAGCAGACCCAAAAAAAGCATAAGCTGTCA